AAAAAAAAAAAAAAATCTGTCGCCTCATGCAAGAGAGATGGACTAAGTGATCATTAATGGAAGGCGGTGATTTGGGAACGTGAGGCCACACCAGTTTGGGGGGATTAGCTTTGGCTTTTGGGAATACCGAAATACTGCAGGAAGTTATTCATTCGAACACTCAACTTGGTGAGGAAGGTGAAGCAAAACTTAACGCTTGCGCAAAGATTAGTGTAGCTAAGACATTTTTATTGGTACATAAGGCTGCTGTTGGATCTGTGTTTAGTGGGATTGTAAATGAAACCAGAAGTTTCATTAGTGTTTATTAAAAGGAGAGATGTGTGCGGATTTCTGGGATGGTGTGATTTAGAAGAAAGAGAGTCCTGTTCCGGGAGGTGTGTCAGGGTAGTTGGTTTATGAGGGGAGGCAGAGTTTTCAAGAGATTGAGTGCCCCTTATAGGCTGAGAATCTCCTCTACCAATTCACCACAGCTTTTCAAGCACGGTAATGAAAGTTTCTGATTTACAGGGTATAGCCTCATAAGTGGCTTGTTATCTAATCTGCATTGTTTCTGTATCTCCACTCCCCAGCTGTTTGGTTCCACAACACAATTCTTAATGCTGCTACCTCTGTAAATTGATGCAAGATTCTACGTTGAATTTGTATTCTGTTCTTTGCCATTAGGGAAGATGGTGGATTACAGTTGAGTGGGAGAAAAGTTGGAGGGGGTGTTAACAGTTTACTATCCTGATTTAGATTGTGTTAAGGACTAAGTGAATATTATTTGTACCTCTAATAAAGGCTTATCTTGTTAAGCAAAGCCTTATAGAAGACTGAAACTAGGTGACATGTGCATATAATCAAAGATACTGAATTTGAATAATAATTTCATAGTGCTTGTTCAAGGGCTTGTACAAGGGCTGATTACTTTTGAAGGAACACACGGTTTTCATGCAGAAGAAAGGTGTGTTTTTCTTTAAATCCTTTTTGGTGATGTGCTATTGGAGGGGCTTGATATTTTTATTTAAGGTCCTAAAAATTCAAGCAGTATAGGCAAATGGACTGTGATTTAGAGCAGGTGTAAATTCAAGTTTTTAGAGTCAATTTTGCTGGTAGTTGTAGAGACAGGCACTGGGTTTGTGTTTCTGTGCACTGTTCTTTTAAAGAGCTTCCTTTTCTGGCTTGTAGTGTTAATAACACCCTAATTTGTGAACCCTTATGACAAGTTTTTTTTTTTTTTTTTTTTTTTTTTTTTTTTCTATCAACCTCTCTCTATTTTAGAATTCAGTCTTTGAGTAGGGCACAGTTGTCCTGACTTATGGGTGCTTAGTAAGTATGGAAGTAGAATTGTCTTCATGTAACCTATTTGTTGATTTGACATTCGTAGCACTCCTTACAAGGTTTTGCGTGTACTAATGTTTGAGTAGTCAGTTTTAGAATTGAAAAGATTTTTAGGCTTTAAAGAGGTGATTATCTGATGATTTGTTAATCAGAATATTTTACTTGTTTGACACGTACAGTTTTTTTTCTTTTTGCTGCTTTTTTGGATATGCTGCTCACATGTAGCATGACCTTAACTATGCTCAACATCTGCAATGTCATCTATTAGTACAAGATAATTTTAATGTCCTGTTCATGTGCTAAAACAAAACCCTTGCAACTGGTAGATTTGATATTCTGAAAGGTGTAAAAAATTACATATATTTGCTGTTTTGAGGGTGTATACTATCTGTCTTATTTGAAGAACTGAACTTTTAAAGTGAGAATTTTACAGGTTTACAAACTCTGGGGTTTTTTTGTTTGTTTGTTTTGTTTTTTAAGCCTGAGAAATTCTTAGGTATAAAGGTCAAGGGGACTAGATTTACAACATCAAGTTACTTGATAAGTCCCATTTATTTAAATCCCATTTTTCTAGAATTCCATATTTCTTTTTTTTTAATTGAAGTATAGTTAACACACAGTGTTAAATTAGTTTCAGCTATATTTCTTTATGATAGCAATATTCAGTTCATATGTGATGAGGTTTATCTCACTTTCCTTCCAACATTCTTCTTGAAAAGTAGAGACTGTTAGCAGGGGTATGGTATCAATGAAGGAGATAATAAAGCCTGTTTGGTCTTTGTCCATTCCTATTTGAATCTAGGATTCCATGACTTTACATTTTCATCAAGGTTTTATTTAATGATAAATGACGATAAAGAAGATCTATTATTAAATTGAATCTTGAACAGCACTTTCAGTACTTTCTGTATTCCTGGCACTTGATAGGCACTTGGGGACATAAAGCATGAATAAGGCAGAGTTCTGGCTTCAAGGAGCTTACAGCATTGTGATAGACATGAAGACAATTGTTGATTATAGGACAGTCAAGTGTTTATGATAGAGATCTGCATGAGGTACTGTGGGGTTGCCCAGAAGAGGGATTCCAAACGCATTAGGTAAAGATAAATGTGAATTGTGAGAAGTAAAATTACTTTTTAAAATCAGTGAGGCAGATCTTAGTGGGATTAGACATTGTGGTAGGTGGTAGAAGTTTGTTTCTGTCTCTTTCTGATCTTTATTGTTTAAATACTAAATGGGCAGTTTGATTCTGAAAAACAGGTTGCCACTTAATAGCTTTGTGAATTGTTGGCAAGCTATTTAATCTCATCTTAAAAAAAAAAAGATATCACCTTGTGTGTAGAGTTGTTGAGAGAACTAAGTCAAAGAATAAAATAATAAAACAGTGCATGGAATATGGTAAACATTCAAGTGTTAGTAGCATTGCACATTATAAACTAACTTGCCTGGTATTTGCCATTCCTCAGTTCTACCCTAATGTCTTGAATTGAGTTTTCAAGGTAATTAACTTAATCTATTTGCACTTTACAGCTTTTTTTTTTTTTTAATGTGTAGCGCAGTCAGTGCTCTTTAAATATTTGTTAAATTTGTTTCAGATAAATATTCAGAAGACCAATTCTTAGAATATGAGGATACAGTGAAATTAACTTTTGTAATTGTATGGAACCAAGTTGAATCTTCCCTTGATGATGTGGAATGCATTTTAAGATTTGGCAGTTCCCTAAGGTCACTTGGAATGTATTGAAAATGTAGAGTTGGAGAAAAGTGTCACAAGTAAGCTTCTACCTTATCAAGTTACTGATAGTATCAGGTTGGAGCCTATAATATGTACTGCCCATATAAATCTTTCCGCATTCTTAGCAGATATAATTCGAAAGTGAGCCAAATTTAAAAGTAAGCAAAAAACCCCAGATCTTCTTTTCTTGTATTTAGCCATAGCATCAGAAATAGGAACTGGAAAAAGCTGGGCAATTTTATATTTGTGTGTGCATGTGTGTATTTACTGTCTTGTTTATTTCATTATGCTTAAATATATTTAATTTAGTGATTCAGGAACTCTAATGGGCATTTTGCATTTGTATAGTTAGGAAGTTAAACTTATGACTTCTTGCCTATTATTTGAAAATTACTGAAGAGAAGCTGCCTAGGATACCTTTGTTAAAAAATAGAGTATTTTGACATTTTGTGATTTGCCCCTTTAAAATTAGAGTAAATAACATATTGTTATAGCATATTCTATAATCCATTAAAGTCCTTATAACAGTTCATAGTAAGGACTAACTAGTTTGTGAAAGATGTGGCATTTAATTAATAATGGCTATTAATATATAAATTTAGGATAAAATCAATCCTTAAGTTAGTAATAGAATGATTATTAAAGATGATTTTATGTTCCAAGCATTCAGGTCCAAAAATGTAAGTACCATAAATGTCATACTTTTGATTACCTTTTGTATTTTTATCTAAAATTTTTTAAAGTCTTGACTATGTATCCTTTCCTGAATTTCATAAAACTTAAGATTTCTATTTTTTTTTTAAGTTTATTTATTTTGAGAGAGTGAAAGAGCGAGCACTTATGGGGGAGGGACAGAGAGAGAATCCCAAGGAGGCCCAGGAACCATGAGATAATGACCTGAGCTGAAATCGAGGGTCGGATGCCTAATGGACTGA